TTTATGTGGTACGAATTTGAAGGCTGGGTCAACCTAGAAGAAGGAGTATTTTTTGAAAAAATGTCCAGCTCTGTCAGGACCTGAGCTCACCACCTTCGGATCCACCGGCGAGTGTCTAGTGCTAAACGCACAGTGACTCCTAGACCACAAGTAGAAAGAGTATAAATAATTAAGACCAGGTGACAAATATGATGACAGTAAACCCTTCCAAAGATAAATCTTGTTGGTGGTCAAGTGATGAAGCTGCTAACAGCACACTTAATGGGTTAAGAGTTTTGCTTCAGACTGCATCCAATGCTCTGGCAGGTAACTAGTTGCTATGTGGGGAGAGAGCCATGTGGGTGTGGGATAAATTCTGACCCATGTCACAGTCAATAAGTTTGATCACAAGATCTGATTGGGAGGCTCTGGTAGCTAAAACACTTTGCTGCCAGCTAAAAATCATTGATTCAAACGCTTAAAGCAGATTTTAAACACTGATTTTTTCATACGGGTTTTAGGGGCCTTATTATGGAAAAGAAAGAACAGACCGACTGCCTCTCTAACAGGCAAGATGTTGTCCAAGCCAAACAACAAGCCCTGACTGGTCTATAAAAATACAGGATTGGTAGTCCAAGGTGCTGAAGGAGGAAAAGGGTCCTTAAATACTTTTAAAAACAAATAACTGATCCAGTTCAAAAAATGTGAAGCTCTCTTTAGAAAAAAAAATTAAAAACAATAAACTCAAGTGTCTCTACTAATTCTAACTTTCTACATCAGTGTATATACTTGGATACAAACCGAAGAAAACAGTTAACAACAGGAGAGACAAAGCACCATTGTGGAACACCTTTAATAACAGAACCAAAGTAATACAAGAAATGTCACATCGGTGCACAACCACGTTCATTTCGTAAGAAAACAAAAACCATCTGTACACAGTCAAGTTGATTACATACAATCAACAACTACCTTGTACACAATCCAGCGTACTGTACACAAGAACCACTTTGTACACATCACATACAATCAAGAACCAGCTTGTACATAATTTTATCATACACAGTCTCACATGTTTCAACAAAGAGCCACTGCTAACTGTCATGAACTGCATAGAAATAAATATGATTTTTACATGGTTATTGAAGGTTGATCTGGGAGTCAAGTGCCCCAAACTGTTTTTTTTTTTACAGCTGGAAAAAAGGGGGGATGGGGGGTGTATCTGGGGTCTGATCCTGTTTAGACTTGTATTAGAAATGTGGCTCTTTGAGTCATCATATATCAAACATTCAGGTATCAGTCCCGCAAGCCGAATACAGAAAACAATGTCAAGTCTTCTGCGTTCAAAAAGTGTTGTGGTTTACAGCTAGGCTGCAATACATGCACCTTCAGCCCAACACATGATTTCTAATTAGTCTTGTATGACATCCTTGTTTGGGAAGGGGGGGGGGGGGGGGGGGTGAGGGGCCCTTTTTTTTTCCCCCTAACAAAACTGGGCCCCAGAACCAACAGAAGTAAGGACAAGTGAAGACAGTCTTACAGATATCAATAATAACTGAAGTACATACACCTTTCTCCATGCATCCCTAATGTTCCCTGTGGCCCTCAGGGTCACAACAGTTGCTCACAATCACTTGATATACTGGCCAACAGAACACTACAATAATAAATACAAGATAACTTGCTTTGGTACATTGTAGCTAGATAAATATAATGTATAAAGTTAATGAAATGGTAAGTAAGTATACTTAATTAATAAACTGGTATGTAAGTTTATTGTGGAATTCACAAATACATTATACAGCCATCTTAAAATCACTACTTTGCTGGTTAAGTTGGCAAAAGAAAAGAAAGTTGGCTAAAATGCCAAATGTTAAATAAATGACATTTCAGTTACAAGCCAGAACATAAGACCTTGTTAATATAAAAAAAAGGGCTGGTTTCAAAATTACCACAAGATTTATGCTAGGTCTAAGTTTACATCGGGAAAAGATCTCTAAATATTCATGTCACGTTCTACAGGAAAAACATAATCTCTCCTTTTAAAAGGCTTTTATTAAGTTCACTTTTTTCATGTTAACTTTACTAAAGGAAGAAGACAATCTTTATTTTGATGTTAAATTTACTTTAGGAAGAAGATAATTTCTCTGTTTTCTTGTCTTATAAGAGGAAGATGATAATATCTCCTTATTTTCCTGTTAACTTTACTATAGGAAGAAAGTAATCTTTCATTATTGTCATGTTGCCTTTACTACAGGAAGAAGATGACAAACCCAGCTTACTGTCACATCAACTCATTTCTTCACTAAAGATGTCAACTGTTGTTACATTACATGTGTGTAAAAACATGCTAGACTAAAAGTTTTATCACATCACAAATTTATGGAATGTTTTGCAATGTATCCATATCAATCTCTCAATTTTAGCAAAATATATAATATAATTTAATGTATATAACATTAAAAAAAAAAAGAATTACCATTTTATAAGGAAAAATAACTTGCTGTTACCAGATTAAAAACACGAAAACATATTAAAATGTTCAAAAGATTCGCATGACATTTCCGTAAATGTTTACAGACAAAATATGGAAACAAGATGACATAAACAAGGATACTGAAGAAGGGGGTACATGACGACAGCAGTGACATGAGAAAACCTCTGTGGTTGCAGTCTCGACATCAATAAATGTGAGGACTCAAAGAAAAGTGTCTCATTCATTCTTGGAAGCTACAACTAAAATTGGTCCCAGCCACTGTATAAATTCTGTTTACACCCATACACTTGGTGCTTATATACACAGATTCTCTCTCCTTGGCGCCCCCTTCTACACTCACACAGTCTGCACCACTGAGTGGACTGACATCTTATTTACAAACAACAAAACAGTCAATACACATAACAGTTTAAACATTACATGAAGGGAGTATTTGCTTACCCAAGATCACGGAAGGCCTGAAAGACTGCCACATTTAAATCAATTGGCACAACTTATAACTGCATTTATTGCAAGAAACCGGGGTGACACACACTGAACTGTAACAGATAAAACAATTGACACATCTGAGTGTTGCTGTACCAGAGTTACTGTACCAGAGCTAGTTACACAATGACCATCCGGGGTGAAGCTCACAAGACTGCAGTGAACCGCACAGAAACTGTTAAGAGATAAATGAGTCTGACACCTGAGTGTGCTGTCATTTATACCACCAGACTGACATCCAGACAGTCTTAGATGTCACACAGAGAATGTCTAGGTGTCATTTACTTAGCAAAATGACACAAGACCCCACACAGAAACTTCAAATTTTTTATTTGAAATCAAATAAATACCACGGTCACAACCAAAGTAAGGCTTCAACAGCACATGCAGAATGCTACAAGCTCACAGCAACATGTGCAGGAAAGCTGGCAATATACGGATGGCCCTGGTAGCCCGGGTTGTTGTGTTCTAGACTTGCTTACCCGGCATTGTCAGACTCTCCAGGTGCTCATGGTTCAATTCTTAAACAGAATCCGTAGACGAACAATTCTCACAGACTCTATATCTCACAATAGACTGTCTCTCGGTAGACTTTATTTCTCACAAGAAACTATATCTCAGTGCAGACTGTACCTCTCAGAACAGACTCTCTCAGTACAGACTATACTTCTCACAACCAACTATCTCTCATAATAGTCACTCACAAAAGAATAAAACTAACCCAGAAAACTTAAGCAAGACTAGGCAGAGAAAGTCAAGAGTTCAATCTTTCTATAACAAGAGGTAGGGTGCATGCGCAAGAATCAAAACTTTCTCCGGACTTCACAGAAGTATCCTAATATCTTAAACTCAAATCCATGTGTGGGTTCTGTGGCCCTATCTTAGCAGAAAAAAGAACTAACCCTCTGCCCCGTTACAAATAGGTCCTGAAAGATGACTCACTAAGGATTTGCTGCGATGGATGTGTTGGGCTGAGAAATACAGATATGGCAGCTGAGCTGTTAATCCAGACCACAATGTGTCAACCACATTTCTATGGGCAAAGACAGAAGAAGAAGAGAAGAAATATGCACATCAAGACAGGCATTTAAACCTTACCAAATTCCTTGCATTCTTATATGATCACATTTAAGGGGAACACACTTGAACAACCAGAACTACACTCGTTACAGCCGGTGTATACGTCTCTTGTAACAATTTTTCAAGTTAAACATTTTAATGAACTGACCAATGCCATATATGCGCCTATTTAAAACTTAACAAACCAACAACAGCCACATACACAATGATCTCAAGAAATATACTGCAATAAGCACAGATGCTAAATTCAAGAAGAGCTGAATGAGAACTAGCGAACACCAAAAAAGAAACAGAATTGACAACATTAAAGACATTGTAGATTCTCTTGGAATAACAAGTCTTTGCCATTAATCAAATGCTGCACCATCAACTTTTCCTTGCAACGACTCTTGATGGCAAAAGTGGATGATGATGATGATGAAAAAGCACAACCATACACAGAGGAAGATAAACACACAATCGATATAAAATAGCCCAATAAATAGACGTAAACCTGAAATTAAATATCACATGTGTGAACCTAATGAGGTTCAAGAATGTTGGCAGCAAATATCAGTTAAAGCTATTATCTTATTCTTCCTGCACGAGGTTGGGGTTTAATTTACAAGTCTTACTTATCTAACTGAAAACTCAAGCATTAACTACAAAACTTCTGAACAGTTAAAAAAAACATAAATAGAATTTAGAGGCAACAGAAGGGACTGCACCAGATTTCTTTCCAAATGGCTATCACTCTCCATGAAACTACTGGTCATCTGCTGAGAGTGTGGCATAAATTTACAAAATTCTATTAACTCCAGCTACAATCCCGTAAGGATTTCTTAAACACTTGAACTCATCAACTAAAGACAGTGACCGATACCAGACCTGTGGGCTTCAGAGCAGAGGACAAACGATTTATCCAATTCCCCAAGGATACCCTGATTACATAACATTAACAGAACTAAATGTCTACACATCATTTAAGATTATTTTGGTTGATATTTGAATGCCGAACATGGCCCATCCCTCTTTCTGTTACTGTTCTCTTTGATACAGTTCTGTTTGCACTGACCTCCACTGTGTGCCAGATACATTCTTCCTCTGCCAGTTTGTCTGCTCCAGCTTCTGTCAATCCCCAAGTCCTCCCTATCCCAAACTGCTCAAGAACCTTCAGTACTGTCTCATTCTTTGCTGCCATGATCATTTCTGCTTTCCTCCAAGCTGTGTCCACTTCATCAACAACAACATCAGCTTCTGCACTCTCTGTAGCTCTACCATCACAAACTGGAACCATGAGACTAGACTCTACAGTGTCTTCCTTAACAAGACTGGGGACATCTTCACTTTCAGATTTATCATTGGAACCCACGCAGAGACAGTCAGCAGAACCTTCATGAACACCAGCAAATCTTGTGTTAGCCCTGCCTCTCTTTTGATTCAGGAGTATCACTTCAGACCCACCCAGATTGAAACTATTTCCTCGGCCCAGGACAATAACACGAGTCTTTGGTTTCATCGTCTGTGACTCACTGGCAGGCAGCTGCGTGTCTGCTAACTTTTTATTTTGGCCCGCCATCTCCTGGTTTCTCAACCACACTGAGCATTCCGACACACGTCTCATTAACCACTTGTTACTGTCAAAGAAAACCTGCCTCAAGATTAACTCTTCATAGAATTGTGATCTCTCACAGTTAAAACCCAAATGAACTTACAGTATAGAGCTAGAAACTTTAGCAGACTAGGAATAGTGTTTAAAAAGTTTGTTGTATGTCTTCTATAGGACATCTTAAACCAACCCTGGCATTTACTGATTGTTGTGTGGTTTTAACAGGCAAGTTAAGTTCAGTAGTTTGCCACTGTTTCCCAATAACCAAGTGAATCCAATCAGAGATACTTGAACTCAAGTTATTCATGAAGCAAGTACTGATCAATAATGATAAAACCCTGCAGACCATCACAAAAATGGCAATTTGGTCAACTATTGTGAAATATCAAATGGTTCAAATGTTTATGTCACATAAACACAACTTGGTTAAATATATAACAGTTGCAGTTCAAATGTTTATGTCACATAAACACAACTCGGTTAAATAACTAACAATTGCAGTTCAAATGTTTATGTCACATAAACACAACTCGGTTAAATAACAGTTGCAGTTCAAATGTTTATGTCACATAAACACAACTCGGTTAAACAACTAACAGTTGCAGTTCAAATGTTTATGTCACATAAACAGAACTTGCAATCCAAGAAACAATCAGCAACCACAGCAGAAGAAAATATTGAATAACGGGACAATGAATGTTGTCAGCAATGCATATCTCAGCACCAGACACAAAGCCCACTCATCCAAACCCGCACAGACAAGCTGTCCTAACTGCCACCTCCACCCGCTCAAATGTTGCTTGCCAGATATGGAAGGTCGTCAGAATCTAAGGCAGGGTGAGATTAAATAAAGTACGTGTGGGACACAAATATATTCAGTTCATGGCAGTCCTGGGTCATGAAAGATAATCTGAAAGGAAAAAAAAAGAAGTATAATTTAATATAAGAACAAATAATTTTATATTAAACAAAAATACCTGATACATTAAAAAGCAACAACAACACGATCTTGCTTCTGACAGCAAGCGCATTGGAGTCCAAAATATGAAAAACAAATACATAAGTTGATGCATGCAAATAAACTCAGATTATAATAATTTAATAAACCTTAATGGATAATAAAACTCATATTATATCTTATTTCAACAGAATGCCAACTGGAGTCTCAAATAAGAATGTAGTTCTGCATGTCTGTGGCTCGAGACAGATGGAGTGGCATAATGATAGGTAGACAGATGGAGTGGCATAATGACAGGTAGACAGATGGAGTGGCATAATGATAGGTAGACAGATGGAGTGGCATAATGATAGGTAGACAGATGGAGTGGCATAATGATAGGTAGACAAATGGAGTGGCATAATGACAGGTAGACAGATGGAGTGGCATAATGATAGGTAGACAGATGGAGTGGCATAATGATAGGTAGACAATTGGAATGGCACAATGACAGGTTGACAGACAAAGTGTCTAAATCGCACGTACATATATGGAGTGATAAAATGACAGGTAGACAGACAAAGTGTCTAAATCGCACGTACATATATGGAGTGATAAAATGACAGGTAGACGGATGGAGTGGCATAATGATAGTTAGACAAATGGAGTGACAAAAAGACAGGTAGACAGACAAAGTGTCAAAATCGCACGTACACATATGGAGTGGTAAAATGACAGGTAGACGGATGGAGTGGCATAATGATAGACAAATGGAGTGACAAAAAGACAGGTAGACAAAGTGTCAAAATCGCACGTACACATATGGAGTGGTAAAATGACAGGTAGACGGATGGAATGGCAAAATCATTAGCAGACAATGGAGTGGTATAATGACAGGTAGAAAAATGGTGTGTCAGAATGATATTCAGATGGATGGAGTGGCAAAATCATACGTGGATAGAGTGGCAAAAAGACCTGCAAACAGAAGGACAACTATTAGAATTGACCTGGAAATGTAAGAACAGAAACACATAATGGTAACAACATAATGTCTGCAGCTGTACTGAGTCACTGATGTCTGCAGCTGTACTGAGTCTGCAGCTGTACTGAGTCACTGATGTCTGCAGCTGTACTGAGTCTGCAGCTGTACTGAGTCACTGATGTCTGCAGCTGTACTGAGTCTGCAGCTGTACTGAGTCACTGATGTCTGCAGCTGTACTGAGTCTGCAGCTGTACTGAGTCACTGATGTCTGCAGCTGTACTGAGTCACTGGTGTCTGCAGCTGTACTGAGCCTGCAGCTGTACTGAGTCACTGATGTCTGCAGCTGTACTGAGTCACTGATGTCTGCAGCTGTACTGAGTCTGCAGCTGTACTGAGTCACTGATGTCTGCAGCTGTACTGAGTCTGCAGCTGTACTGAGCCTGCAGCTGTACTGAGTCTGCAGCTGTACTGAGTCTGCATCTGTACTGAGCCTGCAGCTGTACTGAGTCACTGATGTCTGCACCTGTACTGAGTCACTGATGTCTGTAACTGTACTGAGTCACTGATGTCTGCAGCTGTACTGAGTCACTGATGTCTGCAGCTGTACTGAGTCTGCAGCGGTACTGAGCCTGCAGCTGTACTGAGTCTGCAGCTGTACTAAGTCTGCAGCTGTACTGAGTCTGCAGCTGTACTAAGTCTGCAGCTGTACCGAGCCTGCAGCTGTACTGAGTCACTGATGTCTGCAGCTGTACTGAGTCACTGATGTCTGCAGCTGTACTGAGTCTGCAGCTGTACTGAGTCTGCAGCTGTACTGAGTCTGCAGCTGTACTGAGTCACTGATGTCTGCAGCTGTACTGAGTCTGCAGCTGTACTGAGTCTGCAGCTGTACTGAGTCACTGATGTCTGCAGCTGTACTGAGTCACTGATGTCTGCAGCTGTACTGAGCCTGCAGCTGTACTGAGTCACTGATGTCTGCAGCTGTACTGAGTCACTGATGTCTGCAGCTGTACTGAGTCTGCAGCTGTACTGAGTCACTGATGTCTGCAGCTGTACTGAGTCACTGATGTCTGCAGCTGTACTGAGTCACTGATGTCTGCAGCTGTACTGAGTCTGCAGATGTACTGAGTCACTGATGTCTGCAGCTGTACTGAGTCACTGATGTATGCAGCTGTGTTGTGTCTCTGTTTCAACTGCTGTGTTATTGCTCTAATGTCTGCAGCTGTGTTTTGCTTCGATTGTCTGCAGATGTGTTGTGTCACTGATATCTGTAACAATATTGTCACTGATATTTGCAGCCGTCTTTTGTCTCTAATATCTGTAGCCTTTTTTGTGTGTTTCTAATGTCTACATGTGTGTTGTTCTCTAATGCCTGCAGCTGTGCTGTGTCACTGATATCTGCAGCTGCTTTGTTCTCTAATGTCTGCAGCTGTGTTGTGTCACTGATATCTGCAGCTGCTTTGTTCTCTAATGTCTGCAGCTGTGTTGTGTCACTGAGGTCTGCAGTCATGTTTTGTCAGACATCTGCAGCTGTGTTGTGTCACTGATATCTGCAGCTGCTGTTCTCTAATGTCTGCAGCTGTGTTGTGTCACTGATATCTGCAGCTGCTGTTCTCTAATGTCTGCAGCTGTGTTGTGTCACTGATATCTGCAGCTGCTGTTATCTAATGTCTGCAGCTGTGTTGCCTCTAAAGTCTGCAGCTGCTGTTCTCTAATTTCTGCAGCTGTGCTATTCTCTAATTTCCGTAGCTGTGTTGTTCTTTAATGTCAGCAGCTGTGTTGTCTCTAATTTCTGCAGCTGTGTTGCTAATTTCTGCAGCTGTGTTGTGTCTTTAATATCTGCAGGTGTGCTGTGTCTGTAATGTCAACAAATGTTACCTTGCTGCTTAAAAACAAATGAAGAAAGCTGCAACCATGAAAGAAATATTTAAAAAAAACTGAGAGAAGAATGCATTATGTAGGAGAAGATGAGCTCACTTACCGGTAGTGAACTCTGACCTTCGGCTACTCTCCTCAAATCCTCGGACTGGAGCTTCACCAAAGTTTATGAGGTCATCGAACTGCCCATCATTATCATCATCATGTGTGGATGGAGTCACAGCTGGCCTTTCAAACTCAGTTTCGAAAGTGGCAGATGCCGACTTAGTCACAGCCTGGTCCACAGAGAACAAGCTGATACTGGGGAGATGAAACAGAGCAGACATTACGGGGGAGATGAAACAACAAACACAATGAGGAGATAAAATAGCACACATTTTGGGGGAGATGAAAGAACAAACACAATAAGGAGATTAACTAGCAGACATTACAGGGAGAAGAAACAACAAACGCAATGGAGAGATTAAATAACATACAATATGGGAAGATGAAACAAGAAACATACTGGAAAGATGAAATAACAAATATAATGGAGAGATGAAACAACAAACATTATGGGGAGATGAAACAAGAAACATAATGAAGAGATGAAACAACGAACATAAGGAAGAGATGAAACAACAAACACAAGGGGAGATGAAACAACATACATATGAGAGAGATGAAACAATAAACATAAAGGAGAGATGAAACAACATACATATGGGAGAGATGAAACAGCACACATATGGGGAGATGAAACAACAAAAATTGGGGTGGAGGCAAAGAAACAACCATAAGGGAGAAATGAAATATAGGAGGGCGATGAAACAACAAAAATAAGGGAGAAATGAAATTTATGAAATAACAGATAATATGGGGGAGACGAAACAACACGGAGATAATATGGAAATTAATACCAACAACTCACAGCTGAATTTTGTCTGAGTGGATCAAAACTGCAATACAACAACTCTCAAGCACTAAACGAACACAACACAGTAGCCTTCAAAGGAATGCAAGCGCCACCTGGTGCACTCAAGCGGGTTTCAGGGCCAGGATCAACCAGACATTTGTTTAGGCTTAACACCCTTCCCCCACAAAGGTCCCTTTCCCACTCCTTTGGGTGGACTGGGCATTTAGGGCTGGACCTATATCTGTATAGATCAATCGATACTTGGTGGGTGATGTGGTCAGCGTCGCGCCGGGCGCCTTTACCTCCCAGGACTGCACCTGGTACCCACTCAAGGCTGGGTCGACCTGGGAGTCAAGGTCATTTGGCGTCTAGCCCACTCCCCTCCTAATCTTTTCAAATAAATTTAAAATAAAGTTCTTTCGTTTGTTTGTCCCCTACCAAATCTATCGACTGTGAACAGCTGCACCTGGTGACAGTCATGGTTTGTCGTGTCAGTTATGAATTATAAGTTTCGTTATCTTCATGCACTGCGGACGTATCCATCTGTGCCCGGATACCAAAACATCTGCATATGGATACCAAAACATCTGCATCCGGATACCAAAACATCTGCATCATCCAAGTCAATGGTCATTGACCAGAATCTACAACTGGTCATTACTAACCAGATTACTCATACAGACATGACGATGACATGTTTCTGTATACAATTTTCTTAATTTTCCCCTAATGGCTCTTTAATAGTAGCAATACCATTCTGAACTCTCATAAGTGTATCAATGGGACTTTAGTAACTAGCTTTCCTAGATGAGATGCATTTATCTACAGCTTACTGTTTAACTCCCAGATCGACCCAGCCTTGAGTGGGTACCAGGTACAGTCCTGGGAAGTAAATGCAACCGGCTTGATGATGACTACATCACCCACAGAGTGCCGATTGGTCTATAAAATATAGGTCTAGCCCTATATGCAGGTTATCGTGGAAAATTGTACTTTACTTACTGTTTAACGGCATTATCACTTCTCTAACTGAAAACATCGACTCGGTGACAACAATCTCGAGTTACAATCTGGGCAACGTGAGCCAATAAAACACACTATACTATCATATTAGCCACCTCAACACACTTTCCTCCTGACGTTGGTTGGATTTGGCCACAAGCCTATTGCCGTTAGACAAACATGACGGTCGACTCACGATGTGGCAGACTGCCGCTTGTTTCAACAACAGCAGGCAACTGAGAAGCCCTAGAAAGTTGTCAGAAAGGAACGTTTTGTAAGATCCTTCGGCTACCTCTCAAACATGGTCTCTATCTATCGGCTGCAGTCTACGGCAGACTGAGCTGAGCGCGTGACGCTGCGGGGTCGCGTGCAATTGTTGCATGAGGTATGTGTACGTATATCTTCGTTCGTCTCACAGCCGGTCTCTGAGCCGCCTCGTGCATTTCGGCACAAGAACACTGACCCGATCCTCGATGACGGCGATAGCTTGAGATGGCGAGCCATTACTACCTACGCTTACAAAGATGGCACACGGTGATTAAAAAGATCGTTAATGCTGGGTTTAGTATCATCATCATCATCAGGCGCCTTGCCGACTGGCGTGGGCGATCATGCCTCTAATCCACGATCTCCTCTATCCCTCCTTCCACAGATCTTTCCAGTGGTCACAACATGTTCTATTTTCCCTCTTCTCATAACATGGCCGAAAAATGCTGACTGTCTCCTTCTGATGTCTGTGATAAGTTGTCTTCGGGCTTCCGCCTCTTTCAAAACCTCTTGGTTGCTCTTTTTGGCTGTCCAAGGTATTCTAAGCATTCTTCTGTAAAACCACATCTCTGAGGCCTCAAGAAATTGTTTGGCCTGCCTACTGATTGTCCAGGATTCACAGCCATATGTTAAAACTGGATGTATGTAGCAAGCAAGAATTCTTTTTCTAACTCTCAATGACAAGGATATATTGCACAAGATGTTCATTTTATTAAATGCAGTTTTTGCCTGTCCTATTCTGTTTCTTATCTCAGTTATGCATCTTCCATCTGATGTTATCAATGTGCCCAGATACTTAAATTTCTGTACTTGCCCTAAAATAACACCATCGACTTTTATTACACATTTAGGAATAATTCGTTTCTTTGATACCACCATTACTTTTGTCTTCCCATTATTCAAACTGAGGCCCATTCTTCCACTTTCTAACACCACAATGTCTATCATTTCCAGTAGTTCTTTCTGACTTGTTGCTATCAAGACTGTGTCGTCAGCATAACGTAAATTGTTTATATTGGGCCCACCAACCACAATTTCGGGCATATCAATTAAAGATCTCATAATATATTCACTATATATTGAAAACAAATCAGGTGATAGTACACATCCTTGTCGTACGCCCCTCTTTATGCTTTAAAATGTACCTAAACAGTTGTTAATTCTTATAGCTGCTGTTTGCTGCCAATACATATTCTTTATTTTTCGTAGATCTTTTCCATCAATGTTTAATTTTTCTAACAGTTTGATTACTTCTTCATGCTTCACACAGTCACATGGGTTTAGTATATCAAATATATTTAAAGGAGAGACACAATTTATTCAAAGTAAGCTAAACCAAACCAGACTTAGCCTGAAGAACCTAAGGCCCAGCATCTGTGAGCGTGTTAAAGTAACATTTACACTAGACTAAACCTGAAGAACTTATGGCACAGCACATGTAAGCGCGTTAAAGCATCAGTTTTTAGATCATTTATCTTTCCCCCTGGCAGCTTACAGATGTCAGTCACGGACTCTTATTCTATCAAATAAAATTAAAAAAAAAATAATAAATAAATAAATAAAAATCGGGGCTCTTTTACAATCAAATTAAAAAAGAAAACCGAAGCCTTTGAACTGTTTTACTACAGAAAAATTAACAGAATACCGTGGGCCAAGAACAATAAAAACACCGACATCCTTGATGATCTTCTGGGCATGGAAGAAAACTGGCTCGTAAACATGGAGATGGAGGGTAGTTTCCGGGAAACGATGCAGAGGCAGACCTCCACGAAGATGGATATAAGAGATTGACGATGCATTGGTTATGAAAGCACATAGGGTTGGAGAACTGGCTAGAGAAAGAGAGACTTGTAGACGTGCCGTGACGGCTTCTCTATAAGGACCTGCTGACAGATGATGGAGTAAAACAGAAATAAAGACCCATTTTAGGTCGAGTCGACCTGGCACCCAAGGACATTTCTGATACGGATTCGAACCCTAGACTGTAGGCGAGTACCTAGAGGCTACACCACAGCGGCTCCCTGTGCAGTATTTAAGGAACACTTCAAGAAGCGACAAGACTCTAAGACACTCACCAAGGACAAGCCCTTCCTGAGCCCAACGCCAGCAGTTTGCTACCAGTTAAAGCCCAGTCGGAGTTACTTCCCCAAACGCCAAGGTCGCATGTTCAAGTGTCGGTTATTTATTACCAGGAAATTTTCTACCAGACCAAGTGTCTCCTACCGGCATCTGTCTCCAAGTGCCTGCTTCGTGGGCGCACTCAACAGTGATGCACTACATGTTTTTCTTTTAAGCGGGAACTGAGACACACAAACGTGCCGCGTGAACATTAAAGAGAATAACAGATTGTATTTAGCAAGATGGAGAGAGACAATTAAAAAAATAAGACTTGGCACAGGCTCGTTGTAAGACCTATCTGAAAAAAGGTAGGAAAGAAAAAGGAAGAAGAAGAAGCAGAAGAAAGACACCAAAATTAAGGGTCAAGTCATGTATATCCAGATCTGTGTACGATCTTTTCTTCTTCATTGCTTTCACTTGTGGATTTCGGCCTTGTTCCAGAACTTAGGTTTTCTGTGCACATCCGTTGTATAGATCTGGCTCATTTATATGCAGACGGCTTGTTCCTCGGTTCCTCGCCTCTCAAACGGATGCACTCCGACTTCGGAGGACATTATTTGTCACCTTTTACGACAAGCTTGTGGGGCAGGGGGGGGGCGGGGGGGGGGGGGGGGTTTAGGTTTCGGGCAGAATCGATCATTAATGGTGTCGGGATATTAAATAGACACAAGGATAACTAACTCCCGCATGATTTCTAGATCCACATTTTGAAATAACCAGTCCGCACTCGTTGGTTGAGTTCATAAACATCATTACAAGGAATTTCCTGGTATCCATTTAAGGCTTATTCGACCTAGTGCTGTTAGAGAATTATACAAATCCGCATCTATGAAGATTCGAACCCAAGACAGCTACTGCTGCGGGACATTCTAATGTAATAATCCTGGCTACGTCAGTAATACAGTATATCTTCTCCGGCTGCTACTATTGCCATCACAGTGCAGGTTTACACTTTATCTTGTGGTTGACAACTAGGCGAGGATATGTATGTGCATCTAACGTTCCAAAAACATTCCATTACCGCAAACTATTAGTCGCCTTTTATATCACGCCCGCCCCGTCTCTCTAGCGTAGTTGGCTAAACCGGATTGCGCGGTGAGCGGGTGACGAACTCCTTGTGGTCCGGGTTCACTTCCGGGGGTGGGCAGAAAATCCAAATGTTCTCCCAGATTTACGGTATTTAAAATGGAATCAAGGCCGAAAGGTTGCGATATCCATAATACCGAGCCTAAGGGTTAACAACTCATGGCTTCTGGATACTAAAACAAACATATCACGCCCGCTAAGGTGTAGTGGGGGTATATTCACGCTGCCTTCCCCAGCAGGGTCCTACTGCTAGTTCTAAACATAGACTGAATTCGTGTTTCAGCGGCGCCACGAGAAACATTCCCGCCGCCGTATTGTATGTTGTGTGCGTCTGTCTGCGCTCCTGCTACTAGCATGGGCTGTCGGCTACTCGGGGTATGCCAGACATGCACTGACACGCGTCGCTCTGGAACTGTTTGTTTATATATTAGCAGGCACCCTTCTTGAGGGGTGCACATTCTCCATTATCGGCGACCGGGTCGCCATCTGGCTCGCCGGCGCCGTTTCCGAAGGGGATAGTATCTGAGTTTGTCTCCTGTGATCACATCAACACTGCAGGGGTCCTTTTCAAGGCTCTTGGTAGCGTGCAATGCTAAGCCCTTTTATATGGCGCACATAAGCTTGTCACAATTATAACCTAACGCTCCCCCTTCGGGATGCTGGTGAAAGTAACGATCTTTTGTTTCCAGCAAAGCCCCCTACCTACCCAGCTTAAGGTGCGCCGGATTCTACCACAGGCGCCGGAAATTGGGAGCTCAAAGAGAAATAATATATCCTTGTCCCCTAACAAGCATGTCGTAAAAGTCGACTATTCAGGGATGTTTCCTTCACAGCAGTAGTGCATCTGCCCATGAGCAGAGGAACCAGCAGTCTGCATATAAATAAGATAGACCTGGGGGAAAATGGATGTGCACGCAGAACTAAAGTTCTGAAACAACAATAAAGTCCAGAAGTGGATGAACAACCAGAATTTTCCACCAAGTTTACAGCCGGTGAACACTAAAAGGAAGAAGAAGAAGAAGATCATAAAGAGTGTCAGTGGTAGTGTTGGTCGTACTAGTATCTAATTAGTAAAGGTACTAAAACAACATCCCTGAACAGAAAAAAAAAACCACCTCACTGTTTCAACATAGACTAATAACAGCACTGACCTCGGTACACACACGCACACATCTAAATACACTCACATAGCATTGTAGAGTTAAGACTACTAGAGCATGTTTGAAACCACTGGTTAGCCAGCAAGTTTTCAGTTGAAGGCACAGACGGTAAAAACGTCCTGGTCGCCCAGACCTGAGGGACGGTGCTAATCCGCGGGCTGGCTGACAGGCAAATATTGCCAGCAGTAGGGCTCTGGTACACATGCAAGCTGTAGCTGGCAGGGGAATGTCCCTCAATGCCAGGTTTACAATCACAGTTTAATGACTTTATACTGCTTTGGTCTAAACGTGGGGCAGATGGGCTGGAATACACACACACACACAGAGAGAGAGAGAGAGAGAGAGAGAGAGAGAGAGAGAGAGAGAGAGAGAGAGAGAGAGAGAGAGAGAGAGCTGGTTACAAGGTTTTAAATTATGAACATTTGGCTAAGCTACTTACAATCTATGCATTAAAAATCAGCAAACAGCTTTAACAAACTGGCGATTTCATGCACAGAAGTGAATCATGGACAATCAACAGGTTAATGAGAAATTTGTATAGAAGCCCCATGAGAATGCTTAATGCCAACTGACAATACTTGGCATTATGTGTCAAGATTAAATTACTTCTTACTCTTTTTCTTCTCACCTTTCTTTGTTAACCATTAAAAAGCTGGCTGGCATATTGTATTGTGGCGTGCAGCTTGGCTTAGGCTTGTGATATCTGCCCCTTTCAGCCAACATGTCCAAATTCAGCAAATCCATAATTAGTTGCCTTGTACTACATGTGTGTTCAAGGGCAGAGAGTTTACTGCTTGTCCCTGAAAATAGGGCTCTGAAAACCACATTCAGGACATACTACTGATAGGGCCACTGCACATGAAGAAATGGAATGCAGGAACTGACTGCGAGCCTTATGTAACGAACATATGGGAGGTCTTGCCTAGTGGCTAGACTCCGGGTCTGCAAACTATGGCATGTGGACCAAGACTGGCTTGCCGGGCAATTTTTACTGGCCCACAATCATCATCAACAGTTCTCTTTATGCCCAGTGGCACATGAGGCTTCAGAGAGGACTTTCCATGCTTTCCTATCCTGTACAATCTTCAGTGCAGTTTTCCATGACAGAGATGCAGCATTCAGGTCAGTCTCCATCGTTCGTCTCCATGTTGTTTTTGGGCGCCCCTTCTTTCTCTTTCCCTCTGGTGTCCATGTGAGAGCTATTTTGGCAGGTATATCAGGATTCACTCTCATAACGTGGCCAAGCCATTTTCATCATTTCTTGGTTATCGTACTATCTTGAGTTTCTTGGTTTGTGACTTGGTGCACAAGGCTGGTGTAAAATTAATAAATAATCTGATCCTTCAGCTAAAAAAAAATGTAGCATACAAATACGTTTGTACATAGAAAAGAAAAGAAAAATCCAAACATCAATATCCCCAAAAAATTATAACCTAAACAGTTAAAACCAGATACGGATGTCAGCAAATCTTTGATCCTGTTAGTGAAACACATGTTGTGGGCAAACTCAGACAATAGGAGACCGTGTCTGTCAGCGGACTTTGATAATAAAATATATAGCTACGTTCGTTTTCTTTCTCTGGTCGGCAAGTTTACATATCAAAAGAGTGCTGCATTCTACATAAAATATGGTATTATGAGGAAAACTGGGTTTTATGTTTACAATAAATTTTTGTGTCTAAAAGGCCTGTGACCAGGTTGGTCATTCTAAATTTGCCCGCATGCCAAAAAGGATTACTTAACCCTGTACACCTTAGGTAAACATGAAAGTTTATTAACAATGCCACAGATAATAATATTCACAAAGGGGTTCCGGAAATAAGGAATCCCCAGAGAAACCCAGAGAGAAAAACTGCTGAGACACGACAAAGCTGCTGGACTGGATCTTATCTTCAACATCATAATGACTGTACAGGATGGAACGAAACAGCTCATCTGCTGGTTCAAAGGTCTTTGCTTAAAATTGGCATTATAGTGAATGTTTTTCAAAACTGACTTTGGTACCAGGTGGGGCAAGCTTAAAATGTGTATGGGATAATACTCTGAGAAATAAAGGTAGTCGGCATGATGTTGACCCCGTAAGCCTTCAGGGGCCTTCTGATCTATAAAATATGAGTCTAGCATCACATACCTGATGTGCCACTGGTGTAAACAAGTGTACTTTACTTATGTAACATATAAACAGCACAAGAGGATGATATGTCTAGTACTAAAGGGAATTAACTTACCAATGGAAGGGGGACATCAAAACAATGACAAGACATCATCATCAAGAGAGAGACAGAGACAGGGAGAAATTTCAAAGAAACGGAATGTCTTACCTGGAATCCTCCATGCCAGGAAGTTTGTGATGGCCATTGACAAGAACCGACTGAGACATCCCATCTCCATGCATCTCAATGCTGGAGCCCAGTGCAGAGTCACTCATCACAGGAGTGTACAGTCTGGAACTTTCAGCAGGAGAGGAATCAAACAATGGCTTTGATGAGCTGCCAGGAGGCTGGGCATCTCCAGAATCTTTTCCAACACCATTGAACATATAACCATCTGAAGACGCTGGCTCATGACCATGTCCTTGTGTTATCACATCTGTTGATGAGATACTACTATCCTTGGACAAGACAGAAAGAGAAGACTGACTGTTAAACATTTCTGCTTGACTCTGAGAAGATGGTTCTTTGCTGCGGCTCAAATCCCCAGTGCTTGCCGAAAGACCCATCCTGGCTCCAACTCTGGTCTTACCAAGAAGGTTTTGCAATAGAGGGGATTTGAACTTAGGACCCTCTGAGTCAGCTCCATTGTTGCCCACCAGATGCTGCAGCAGAGGTGACTTAAATCTTGGCTTTGTCTCAGAGGATGGTGCTGATGATACGACTGTGACCTCTGGCTTCAGTGGAGTTGTGTCAGCACTTTTTGGTAGTCTGTCCTCAGTGTCCTGTTGATGAGTCTCACTACGAGAGGACTGGCCATCTAAGATATTCCCTGATGAAACGCTGCGAGTGACTGTTGAGGTCGATGAAGAGGTGGACGCCGTCATATCTGCATCTTCGAAATCTTGCATAAATGACGTTGTCATGGCTGCACTGTACACCTCAACTGCCGACCCCTCTGCCACTGGGGAGCCATTAACCTCTTCATCAGAAATCTCACTGGATACCACACTTTTCTCTTGTTCTTCTTCAGGCGAACTCTGAGAAGAACTGAGGTGGGTAACGCTGGAGTACATACTCACAGATTTAGTTGGGCCATCACTCTTTGGCTGGCTATCCGTGTCTGCCTTGACCCTTTTCATTATCATCTCTAATCGCTAGAGAAAAAAGAGAAAAAAAAAGAAGAACAGATATTATAATGAAACGGTCAATTTATCTTTACAGTATTGTATTTTTACAAGTCAATTTTCATGTTGAATTTTCAGTTACAAAATAAAATTAATGAAACGTAAATTACTATTAAAAGTCGTGACCAAAATCAGTTTGTATGCAGAACTAATTAATTACCACTGTAATTGTAATGATTAACCTATCGCACAACACCTGCAAGCAAGCTAAAGCAAACATTTTCAGATCATGAATCTTTCCCATGGAAGCTTATAGATGTGAGTCATGGATTTATACCATCACTGAAGGAAAAACTGGAGCTTTTGAGATGAAATGCTACAGAACATTTCTTAGAATACCATGGACCAAGAATAACAAAAATACTTAAGTCCTACATGATCTTCTTGGTACTGAGGAAAACGTGGCTCATAAACAGCATCCTGTCTTGAAAGCAGAGGTATTTTGGCCATGTTAAACATCACAGTCGGCCTGGCGAGAATGGTGATGGAGGGTACGGTTTGGGGAAATGTTGCAGAGGCAGACCTTCATGAAGGTGAATACAAGACACTGAAGATTCATTTGCTGTGAAAGCACATAGGGCTTGAGAATTGGCTACAGAAAGAGAGACTTTGAGGCATGTCGTGATAAGAGCAAGGTTCTCTAAAGAACCTGCCAACTGATGACAATGATTAACACGTCTAGAAGTGTAATGTTTATAATGGTATCAGTTTTATATTTGTAATGACCAATCAGCACACAATAGGTGATGTGCTTCTCCTCACTTGCCAGTATTCTCCCAATACACATTTCACCTGAGGTAAACATGCAAGTTTATTAACAATGCCACAGGTAATAATATTCACAAAGTAAGAATCCCAAGAGAAAACTGCAGAGACATGCCAACAGGGCAGGACCTAAGCCCATCTTTGAAATCTAAAGGACTCTAGAGGACGGAATGAAATGGAGGACTAGATAGCAAGCTCTATGTGACACATAATGGCACAGAAGCATGATGATGATGATGATGATGATGATGATGATGATGATGATGATGATGATGATGATGATATACTTACTAACTGAAAATTTTACTTACTAACTGTGAAAATTTTATTTGTCACTTTTCTGGTTCATAGTCTATGAAACATCCGAGACTGTTTAACCATAAGAATTAGTCTGATTTCTCTTCTCACTGTTTCTATAAACAAGCTTTTAACCACTGCCGACATGTGAGCCTGTTGCAGTTTCAGAGAGTAATTAATCAGATGGATCACATCCCAGCTGGTGAGCAAGAACCCAATAACCTGAGATCTGGCAGCAGTACAAGCAAAGCTACTGGCTGTCCATGCAAGTGATGGATGAATTGAATATCTGAGGCTCTGACTACCAGCATTTATGTAGCACACACCAAGGCTTGCCCCAGATACTCTTCAAAATGTTCTTAGGCATTCAACCTTACAAGGGTGGTTGACATTGAGTTGTGGTTTACAGCATGCCTGAGATATAGCTGCATCTTTCATCATAAACATACGATTTCAGAAAATCGTCAATTAGTCTCCATTTACGACATGCAATGGTTGTATTCTTCTCTCGCCCCTGAAATGGGCCCCGGAACCCATATGGACGAAGAGTGCCTCAAAACCTGATGTTGAAATGTAGGACCGGATGTAGAGAAAAGAACAAGAAACCTGGAAGTCAAGTTCCAATTTTAAACATCTCTGCCTCGATGGAGATTCTACCTCTCTCTTCTTCTTTGCATTTGGTCTTTGTGAGCTCGCATGTCAGTTGCAGGTTCTTTGTTGGATCCCTTGGAGGCTTGGAATTCGGCACTGTTCCCGCCTGGCAGTAGTCAACAGGAGCAGCCCCATAACAGTGTAGATATCTAAGCATACTCATTAACCATAGATTGCACTAATGTCCGTTTTCATGTCTAGGTGCCCACGCTATTCAGGCCCACATATCCATAATTGGTGGGGGAAATTATGGAGTCTCCCTATCCACGTCCTGGTTCGTCCAAACACTGCCTGCCATAAATCACAGGTTATGGGAATTTCCTTCTCCGCCTTTGATTAACCAGGGTGGGCTCTCTGCATGTGACCATGGTGGAATCGGGATACGCCTTGCTCCGGTGGGCCCAGAATCAGCCACATCTTATTGGGTCATACTCCGCAGAGAGTTTCTGCCTGGCTTATCCCAGCGTATTTTACCCTTCAGGCAATGGGGGGGCGGGGGGGGGGGGGGGGGGGGGGGGGGGGGGGGGGGGGGGGGGGGGGGTCGGGGGGGGGGGGGGGGGGGGGGGGGGGGGGGGGGGTCCTATTTTATTACCCATGGAGACTTACTATGTGCAAGAGCTGTGTCTGTTACAAGAGGCAGCACTACATGTAGGTATGGTTAGCCTGATTGGCAGAGACTGATAGTTGCGCACAGGCATTTCTTTTTTTAAAGTGGGACCTGTACAAAGCAATCCTTGCTAGCCCGGTGCAGATTCAAATGCAGGCACACTATTCAAAAACACTAGCTATTGCAGTACTGCAGCTTGCTGTGATGATAACAAATTTAAATATACACATCTAACAAGGCGAGGACCCAAAGACAAATTTTTACAATATCCAAAAGAGATAGATGTAATTTTTGGGGGGCCATATTATGAGACGAAAGAAACAGGAACATGTGCTGACTAAAAAGATATGTAGCAAAAGAAATATATGAAGACAAAGAATCTTGAATACTTTTTGTTACGGCTCAGAAGGCAAACAAACTGATACATGCTGGTGGAGATCGAAGGTTGTGGAAAAGCATGATCACCCATGCCAGTTGGCAAGGCATTTGTCGATGAAGTTTTATTTTTCAATACTTACCTTCTTTCTCTCTAGTCTTTCCTCATCCTCTTTTCTGACTTTCTCTTGCTTCTGTACATCTACTGGCCGTGGTTCTGCTGGAGTCGGTCTGTCCGTTATGTCACTCTGTTGAAGAACATCCATGGAAAAGTATAATCAAACAGATGAGACAGTAAGAGTAAAGTGTGTTCTCTTCAACTGAACCAATGTTAGCAGAATAACACTTTTTAAAAAAAGTGTTTTTTAACCCATTCTCACCATAAGAGTCTTTGAAACAAAAATGACATACAATTTAAATTTTTTTTTTTTTTTTAACAATCACATTCTTATAATTCTCTTAAACTCTTAGAAACCACAGGAAGGGACAAAGAAGGAAAATAAATTACAAGTCTTGGTCGAGTTTTATAAAAATCAAGGGGGCTGAAACCTATGATCACTGAGCAGACAGGTAAGTATGATAGTCACCCTGACACCGCGACCGTCAAATTGTTTAAAATAGTTCGTGCTCGGGACAGTCTAATATTTCAGGGGTGGTAGATAGGCTGCATGCAGTGGTGGGACCTAGGGTGCATGCAGTCGTGGGATCTAGGCTGAACTCTTTCGTGGGAGGTAGGTGGGTTGGGGTTAGGGCCAGTTCTAGATGTTTTGGGGTTGTTAAAAGCATCAGAAAGCCAGGAAAGCCAGTCTTACCACCCTCTAGAATGATGGACTGTCCTGTGATGTCATCTGGGGTAGGATATTAACAAAGCACCAAATAGTTCAAATAAATTTTTTTTAGGAAAATGCTTTATATATTTAAAAAAAAAATTATTATATATTATTCAATAAATAAAAACAGAACACAGAGTTAACTGCTTTCCTTCCCTTTGACCATGATAAATGTGGTTTTATTAATTAACTTAGCCAAGCAGCAAAATGTTGTCATAATAAGCTTTTTATGATGCAAACAATGGCATCACAATAAAAAAAAAAAACTGATTTTTCATCCCCAAATAATCTAAATATGAGGCGTGTTTTTTAAAAGTAGGTCCCATTTTGACCGCAGAGGCCAACATTGAAGGAAAAATAAATGTGCATATGTAGTATGTTTATGTGGTTCGCTGGCCAGCTGTGTGCTATATTTTAACTGTCGAAATCTTGTTTGATCCTGAGTATGGGTCTGAAAGTATAATCTTCTTCGAAATAGGGGTATGAAACCATAATCTCCTTCAAAGTAGTTTTGTTGAGAACACACACAACTCGTCCAGTGGTTCTACTATTGCTGAAAGCATTTCAGGATATTTCCTAGGATAATCGAGTGCAGTTCAATCACCACATTATGCACAATATATCCTCATCATTCAGATCAAGTCTTTTAACTGGAAAAATTTAACTACATATGTCCAAAGGGGAATCACCAATTATCAATAGACTACATATATTCAACTTTCTTCTAGCTGGACTTTCTTATCTTTTCCTTCTTCTTCATTCCCCTTAAAAAGATGGTCAGTATTTTGTGTTGTGTTAAAGAGATATGCTGTGAATAATGGATCCTTTCCCAACAATCCATTTCCAGCAAGTCCTTAATCAGTTTCATTTTATGAAACTCTTCAGGTAGCAAGGAACGCATCATGCATCACTAAATTCTGCTAAAAGAGTTAAGGCGCAGTAAATCAATCTCCCCACCTTTGCAAATGGGGCCCTCTGAAATCCACATGGGGTAATATTCAAGGGCACTGCTGTACATGTGTAATGTCAAGGCCACTATCAGGAAAAAGGTTCAACAATCAACAGTGCTCATTACAGTGAGATGCATATTAAACAGCTGAAACCTATACTTTATATGTGATGCAGAGGGCTGCTATGCAAAGGTGTTTTGGTCCTGCAAGACAATATACATTTCACACCTCTGCCCATTCTGTTGACACTGTAAACATTTTATTTCCAAGTGTTAAAGCATCTTTCCTATAGTCAGTCCTGATCTTGCTTCAGTGGACTTTCCCCTGTATGGAACTTTGAAAGCAACCCATCAAGCAGGAAGATTAAGACCTGATGAAGAAGTGAAGACAACAGTGCACTGAACGGTTCACAGCTCAGCAAAAAACATTTTTAATAAGACAAAATAAAAGCTTGGCAGACAGTCAAAGTTTACTGAAAAGCTTGGCAGACAAAGTGTACTGAAAAGCTTGGCAGACAGTCAAAGTGTACTGAAAAGCTTGGCAGACAGTCAAAGTGTACTGAAAAGCTTGGCAGACAGTCAAAGTGTACTGAACAGTTGGTCAAACAGTCAAAGTGTACTGAACAGTTGGTCAAACAGTCAAAGTGTGCTGAAAGGCTTGGTAGACAGTCAAAGTGTACTGAAAGGCTTGGCAGACAGTCAAAGTGTACTGAAAAGCTTGGCAGACAGCCAAAGTGTATTGAAAAGCTTGGCAGACAATCAAAGTGTATTGAAAAGCTTGGCAGACAGTCAAAGTGTACTGAAAAGCTTGGCAGACAGTCAAAGTGTACTGAAAAGCTTGGCAGATAGTCAAAGTGTACTGAACAGTTGGTCAAACAGTCAAAGTGTACTGAACAGTTGGTCAAACAGTCAAAGTGTGCTGAAAGGCTTGGTAGACAGTCAAAGTGTACTGAAAGGCTTGGCAGACAGTCAAAGTGTACTGAACAGTTGGTCAAACAGTCAAAGTGTACTGAAAAGCTTAGCAGACATGCAAAGTGTTTCCTTCCCAGGAAAAGAAGCCCCAGAACCATACAGGTAAGATGAAGACTGAAAAATAAGATTCCCTTACCCTTCTCTTTTCTTCTTGGCCTGGCTTCTCTGTCTCCATGGAAGTTTGTAGACTGTCATCTTTTCCTGGGTCAACACGCTCAAATAAGGTGATCTCGTCAAGCTTCACGGGTGTCGCCCCAGTGCTGCGTGACAGCCTCTCATCAACAGTATCAGATGTCAGTTTACCTAACTCACTCTCGGACAACAAGCTGCGGGATAAACCTAGCTCGGCTGACAAACTGGAGGCGGGCATGTCCATTTCTTCCATACCCTGCATGAAGGACATGGTCATGTCTGCACTGTACACCTCCACAGCAGATCCTTCAGCAACCAAGAGTCCATTACTACTTTCCTCATCCGAAACTTCACTGGGAGCCACACAAGTTCCTTGTTCTTCTCCAGGCGAATTCTGAGAAGAACTGGTCTGACCTGTGCTAGGAAAGCTGGCTACTGGCTTAGTTGGGCTTTCAACTTTTGGTTGAACATCTGTGTCTACCTTAACCCTCTTCATGATCATCTCCAGTTTCTGTAGAGGACACAATGACAGACCAGCAACCAATCACAGTCAATACAAGTCAACTCATACAATAATAAAAAATGCAGTAATGATGTTTTTTATAAAAAAATTTCAATAGAAATATGTCTTCTCATATGACCAAGAGACATCTGTCTAATGTCTCTTATTAGGTTCATAGTTTTCCTTTGACTCGGGGAGGACTGCCTCATTGTTGTTTTTTTCTATTATTCCATGATATTCATTGAATTCTTCTCAAAAACCTCATCTCTGCTGCAAGTATGTGCTTTTATAACTTGTCTGCTTATTGTTCATGTCTCATACACATGTAATAACACAGATTCTATAGAGCACTTTAACATTATTTTTACCACCGCAGTTGCTATCTTTTTATTGGTGAGTATCTTTATAAAGTACTGTATACTGTTAAACAGGCTTCACAAAACAATCATCTGGAATTCATGAATGAAATATCTTTATATTTATTAAAATATTTTTTTAACACTGATTCATCAGAGAAAAAAGCTTCAGATTTGAAAACCAAATAGTATCAGAACTAACTTTAAGAATGGAATAGGAATAGAATAAGAGGTCTGATTGGTTACTAGAATTAGGGAAGTCCCCAGGTTGCAAGGCACGAGGTTAGCATAGGAAAGGAAGAATACAAGATATGGTAAGTTTGCTTGGGCAACAAGGCAACGGAGGTAAGAATAACTGGTCTTTCTGTGACCGGACCCCAGAATGAAATGACGAGAAACTGGATCCAAAGTGATAGGTATGAACGTGGATCTGGATGGAACCCGAATTAACGTTAGTCTTGAATGGCAAGGAGTGAAGCTGTGTTGAATTACAGTTGAGGACAACAGTGTGTTCTATGGCTCGTTGGTTGTCAGTCATGTACATGCCAGTGTTCATCATCTGAAGTGTGGCTGTAGACTTAGAGTGTGAGCAAGGGGATCCCACCGGTAAGGCATAAGTGTTCGGCTTTAAGGTTGATTCTTGTTGCTTGTGTTCATTGAGAATTAACCTGTGAATTGCTGTCAAGCTTCGTCGACTGTCATTTGGAGATGTGTGACTGTTGATCGGAAGAGAAGTTTGACCTGTCTGTACTGTCATGTTGCCTCCTAGACAAGGGAGCTAGTGTTGAATCTGTATGAGGGAGACTGACGGAGGAGATACATTACAGCACATATAGATATGCTGGAGTGCCACAAAAATAACATAACTCAAATGTGTATGCGTGTGTAAGTCTTTCACACTTAAAGGGGTGGCTGGTGCACTGTGTTGTGGTATGCACGTTAGTTTGAGGGAGTACATGTGCACACGTGTATGTGTACGCATACTGGTTTACTATAGCGTAGATGTTGTTAAATCATTTCTGCAGGTATTTAATTTATTTTTGAAAACTGTGGTGTAAACTATACTTACTTTTTTTCTCTCCATCCTTTCTTCTTCGTCTTTTCTAGCCTTTTCTTGCTTCTCTTTATCTAACCGTTCCATCTCCACTTTGGCTTTTTTCTCTGCCTCTTCTTTCTGAGGAGAGATTCACTTACAGAATGAGACACATATAACTAATTCAGTTTTTGACATTCAACTTACATAATTATCAATTTTTTCTTTTGCAATCGACCTTTGAGACGACCTAAATTAGAGACAACACACAAGAGGGACAACCAACCATAGAAGATTCCCACTGTGGGGAGACAACCAACTTCAGAGAATACTATTACAGACACCTAGTATGGGGATAACCAGCCATGGGAGACACCTTCTATAGGAAAACATGAGGGAACCAACTATGGTGAGACACCTACTAAGGGGACAACAAACAAACCATGTGAGACACAACCAACATGGATATAACAAACTGTGAGGAGGGGACAACCAACTATGGATATAACAAACCATGTGAGACACCTACTATGAGGGGACACCAACTATGGATATAACAAACCATGTGAGACACCTCCTATGAGGGAACAACCAACTATGGATATAACAAACCATGTGAGACACCTACTATGAGGGGACAACCAGTTAGGGGTATAACCAACCCTGTGAGACACATACTGTGGGCAGATAACTAGCCATGGGGACACCAAGCATACAGAGAGATGCAAACAATAGGAAATCATCTTCAACCATGTGGGAAACATTTACCACAGGGAATATCAATAAAAGGAGATTATGAACTATGTGGTGACAACCAAATGGGAGACCATGCACAAATTGGGCAATCACATGCACTGGCAGCAAAAAACAATGGAAACTATGTTCAGTGGGGATCTGTACAATGAGAAATTACGACATGCTACCAAAAGAGAACACACAAAATCACCCCTATACAGGAAGCACTGTTTTGTTATTTTAAAGTCCTAACCTAGCTCTTGTCGAAGACCCTAATATAACCTGTTGAACAGAGTTTCTGGAATTTGTGCCCGGGTGATTCTCAACTGAGTGGTACTTTTTGTCGCCAGATGTTTGTCACCTGTTGTGAAATCCTGGTGGGATTGAACGTCACACAATTACTACATGGACCGCCAAGACAGAAAATGCTTGCTTAGCTGTACAAAATCACCACTCATGTCATTTTGCCTTGGGTTCTGGACAAATTTTAGTGGTGGTAAACTACTGAATTTGCCTTAATTCATGACATCCTGGACAAGGCTGATACACCTAAATACAGACTAGCATGACATGGACTGCTAGAAATTAAGAGAAAAGGCAGAAAACAGAGCAAGGAAAGAAAGAGCAGACAGATGAAACTTAGTGAAACTGCTAAAGTAATCAGCATTTATGGTGTATTATTTTTTAGAGAAATAAACTTGTGAAAATATTGGGGGGGGTGGGGGGGGGGGGGGGGGGGGGGGGGGGGGGGGTGGGGGGCTAATTTTGGTAGTTCATCTACCATTAGAATAACATAGTACAGCAACATTCTAACACAGGTACAATCCAAGATTGTGGGAATTAGAATAACATAGTACAGCAACATTCTAACACAGGTACAATCCAAGATTGTGGGAATTAGAATAACATAGTACAGCAACATTCTAACACAGGTACAATCCAAGATTGTGGGAATATACAATGCAAACAAACTTGATGGCTTTTGATTTTCCTGATTTTTTAAGATTTTAAGGCCTGTGAGTTTACAATTACGCTCTTTGTCTGCAGGCAACCATCAGTAACTAGGAACCCCGGAGATGTGCCACTAGTTTCGGGAAAAACGTCTGCTATTACTGTAAAGTCAGGCAGAAGTGATTGTCTCCGTCACATACAAATTGTTAATGGGATTTCAAAAAATTCCCGATTTTAAAGTGTAGTCAAAAATAATTTTATATTACACTGGAAAAAATAATAGCAGAAGGCATGGTACCAGGAAGGAGGGTTAGGGGCGCCAACACGATAATGGGCACATGGTATAAGTGACTCCTTCAATAAGAAAGTCCACAAGGTAGGAGAGCTGGTGAGACGCTGAGTGTCTTTAAGGCAGACCATGATGACAGAGACATTCTGCAAAGAACCTGCTACACGATGATGAGTGTTACAGATAATAAATGATCATAGATGGAAATTGAAAGAGAGGCTGACTATTTAAGCCATGGTTAGAGAGTATAAGAGAGGCCCTGTGGAGAACCTATAAATGATGAAGCATACAGACAGGTACCTACCCACTGTTTTTATCTCACCTCATAACTCTAAGGTATCAGAGCAACCAGATGAGATAATGAGATTTGAACACGAAAAAAAGACAGAAAAAAAATTCAATAATCACATACCAGTTTTCTGTCCTGCTCCAGCTTTTCGGCTTCTTCTTTTCTTCTCTTCTCTTCTGCCTCAATGGCTTTCTGCAGTCTTTCTCCTTCTGCTCTTCTAGCTACTTCAGCTTCCTCTTCTAACCGTCTGTTGTCCTCCTCTTCCCGTCTCTGATTTTCTTCCTCTGCCAGTCTAAACAAAGACAAATAACTAGCTAATGACTAATATGTAAACAATACCTTACAATTTGTGCTAAAATCTTTGAAGAAGCTACACATACATCATAAATCAAGTATGATTAGAGAAACAGTTGATCACAGTTCCAACTTCACATGAGTTGTCCCATAACTGTTGCTTTCCTGTGCTAGACAAAAACCCACAAAGAAAGTCTATCACTGTCACATGTGAAACAACTGACACAGATTGCTGTCCCTGCAAAGCCAACAGCACACACACACACTCATTAAAGCACAGGGCAGCAATCAGAACTGTCAACACAGTCTGCCAACAGTTACTGCCACTGTCATCATTGGTCTAAGAAGCAATTACAAAAGACTGGCAGTTATACACCTGCAATATCCCAAAATGCACTACCAGAAGTGTATCAACAAACCATTTTTAGAATGGTTCACTACACACACTATGCTGGGCACATTCGAAAAGCATTCTAAATGCAATCTGCAGCTCACAGTGTTGCACCATGCATTCAACTCGGTTACCATGGTTAATTTCCTCTTTTGCCAGTAATGGTCTTGGGGAAAAATAGTTGTTGATAAATTGCTTGATGTGCAGCAATGACCACTGTCATTCCGTGTTGATATAGAAGCTCTTTAATGTCATCCTCTTTCTTTTACATCAGATCTTTCTATGATTATCGATTGTGTTGGTAGTTGTTCTGGCTGCATTACAACAAGATGACCAAACCATTTGATCTTCTGTTTCTCATTGAATTTGGTGTATGGTGTTGTTCCCACAGTCTGTCTAAAAATATCATTTTCCACTTTGACTTTGTTCAGATGGTTAAGTTGGCGGCTTTACCCAGCCATACCATTTCCCAGCAGGTGATAATTTTATGTAGTTTAGCATTTCATAATGTCAACTAGTAGCACAATGTTTGTATGAATATGCTGTTTACAATCTGTTTCTTGGCAATCATAGTTATATTTGGATGTCTTAACAGTAGTGTCAATTGGTACATAAGTGCATGGACTCTTGTTAGCCTCTTTTTTCTATTTCCTGATCCATTCTCCAGTACTCCAATATAGTTCCTAGATACTTAAATTCTTTAACTTGCTTTAAACACATCTCAGTCGCTACAATTAAACAGACTGTCTCACCTGATGTTGCCTTCTTTCTACTGCTGGTTACAGGAAGACAACAGCCTAGAGTTATCATAGACTGCTATCTGGAGGTGTCTCTGTGGCACAGTGGTCACGCCAGTTTGCCAAACTTTTTGAGGGCTGTGGGTTTATTTCAGACTGTGCCATTTCACTAATAAGTTTAGTGTTTCCCGAAAACTTGTGAGGTCACAATAGTAGCGATGATAATGACAATAACAACAGATGTTGTGAGACCATAATCTGTGTTTTAACTGATTTTTTAGCTTAATGACTTGGCCAGGATACAATTCCCTCAGAGATTTCTTTCCTAGTCAGTTAAACACCATGTTAAAGGTCATAGTGGCCTGGACAAGTTCCCAGAAAACTAGTCCGAGGCAGACCTCTGTGAGGGTGGATAGAAGAAACAGAAGATGCATTGATCATGAAAGCACACATGGCTGGAGAACTGGCTACAGAAAGAGAGACTGTAAGGTGTGGTGTGATGAGAGTGAGGTTCTGTACAGGACATGCTGACTGACAGTGACAGTCAGTTGATGTGCAAATTATCTTCACCTCAACTACTTTTACCTTTTATATACAAATGAATATTTATGGCGTGAATGACTCTGGTATTCATATCTGATTCTACACTGGTGTCATGAAGTTGGTGCACTGTGCTGAGCTGCTCCTTGTGAGATTTATGGGAGCAGTCTGGTGCACTTATAAAGATAGGTGTGCGCTATGATCTCAAAACAAATAAAAAGTACACCTAATCAGTTTCAGATTATCACAATCACAAGTGACAAGTGAACACTGCAGCTAGAAGGCCTTCATCAGCATATGACATGAATAGACCATGTTACAATCACAACTGCCACCTGGTGTGATGGTTCCAATGCCTACGTCAATCCTTCGAAGGCATCAGTGACATAGTTCTCTTTGAACAATCACACTGTCAAGACAGACTTACCAGAGGTGAAAATGGGTGATAGTGTGTTGATCAGAACCAACATAATGACATATCTCATAGTGAGGTTTTATCGCAGCGTGTCATTCAATGAACACGTTGACCATGTGATAACAAAAGCACGCAAGGATCTATTTGCAATCAGGGTTATTGCTGCTTCCAATATCGAGCACAGACTACTAATATTTTTGTTCTACGGGCTGGTCCTGTTGCCCACTGAATATGCATCCTCACTGTCAGTGCTATACAGATTAAAGGACTTGAAAAAGTACAAAATTAAGCCATGCATATTATTTTGGGATTTACAAGAGACACTTCCTGCATAGCAATGAGATATCTACTAGACTTTGCAACCATGAACCAAAGGATCAGGATCTGGAGGTCTCGGGCATACCTTAAAATATGTGCTGATTAGAATCACCCACTGCATCAGGCACTTTTTAATGAAAAGATTGACCGGCTAAAGAAGGGAAAATCATGTCTAGGTTGTGCAGATGTTTCCAAGCAATTATGCAGCCTAACCAACATCACCCCTGATGCAGAGTGGAGACTAGTGCCTCATGCACTTATTTGTACATTTTCCTGTACTGCCACACTCTACTGGATATCTAACAAATCTATTTTGCTTAACAAAATTACATGCTCTGTCCTGTACCCACCTGGCTCCTTCCTGTCGCTTTTTCTCTTCCTCTGCCTCCTTCTCCACTTTCTCCCTGGCCTGTCGTCGCTTCTCCGCCAGACGTGCCTTATACTCTTCAGCTGAGATGTCCTGTGTTGGACCCATGCTGGTACGTAATGCAGTAGTTCCATCATCAGCAACAGGGGCTACTGGGAGCTGTGGGGATGTAAAAGCAAGGAACCCATCAGAACTTGACCCCGGTGTCGAAACTGCTGGCCCATGTGTCGGAGTAGAAGAAGCAGCTGGAGGATGGGAAATAACTGGAGTTGTGCTAAAAGACTTGTCCGCCCCTTTGTGACTAGGTGAAGCCACCCTGACTGAAGCTTTTTCAGGTTTTCTAATAGGAGACACAGAACGAGCTGCAGATGTAGGTGCAGGACCTCCACTTGTAGGTGTAGTTCCATGGTGTGTCTCTTTAGGTTGGACAATCTTAGGGACAGGCTCTTTTGTGTGCGTTGGAGACTGCTTCTCTTTCAAAGAAGATCTCTGTAGACAAATAAAGTAATGCAGTATTTAACAAACTGATTTACCAGTAAATATGAGTCCCGTCCCCCCCCCCCCCCCACCCCCCACTTTTTTTTTTTTAAAGTTACCTTTCATTAGAATGCAACTTCTTTCTTCAACCACCCCCCCTCCCCCACCAACAATAATATGGTTTTTTTCCCTCTAGGTTTCTGTCTTCAAATAGTGTGCCCAAAGCTGATGATTCTAAAGTTTCTATAATTGGAGACTCGGTCTCATTAGATGAATCATTTGAGCCACAAATTACATTTTCAACATGCTCGAGCGAAACCAAAGTTAGAAACCACATAATTTTTAGACACCCACTCTTCTTCTCCTTTTTCTTCTTAAGGCTTAAGACTGTAAACTCCAGCAGAAAGCTCTGGTTGTTCATCCATATCTGGAATTTGGTCTTGTTCTGAAACTTGATTTTTTGAATGCACATTCATTTTACAGATCTAGCTTATTTGTAGGCAGACTGTTGGTTCCTTACCTTTTGGGCTGATGCATTCCGACAATTACAAGATGCCTACTGGGGTGTTCGAGGGAGTGGTCTACTCCCCCAGCTAAATAACCTCATAAACATGTGGCCTCGAGTATCTACTGAGTTTTCATTGACTAAACAGTATTCCCTCTACTGAGGAAAAGTTTAAAAGTAATCCCACAAGTATTAGACCTTCACACATTCTAGGTCACATAATATATTGTTGGTGCTAAACCAAAGTCATCTAACTGGTGTGAACCTACAGTATTTCAATTCATTTATCTAAACTTAACAAATTTAAATCAACCTTTCCATTTACAAAACTGTGTAAAAATATCAGCAAAGATAAATAAGTAATTCTATTACACTATATGTCAGAACACAAATGAACTCTTTCTATTCCTAAAAGAGCACCAAGTGTGATTCCGCTACTGACTGTGTGTATCAAATGATACCTGTTGTTTGATTATGTCTTTACATTTGGTTGGAACATACTAAAGACAGCCAGCTAGGTATTGTAGAATACAGCACATTTGCTACCACTTTGGAAGTGATATGCTCATACATTTTATTATGATTATTGTTCCCTTTGTTCATCTGATGTGAAATCTTCTAGGACTGCAAAATAATGAATGTTCACTTTTCAGTTACATAGAAATGAGGAAAATTCATGCTCCTAGAAATAAATAAGACAAGGAACCTTCAGAAACAGTATAGTAAACATTTTCATATGTATTGATCACATATATATTGTTAAGCATATCCTCCTAAATAAATACCACATTGAATTTTATAATACTGCTAAAATAAGGCCCAAAAATGTGGTATATCAAAAGGTGTTACTGGAGGTTATATATTCTTTTCTACCACACTCTAAAATGATAATACAATCGCCTTAATATGCACAGGATATTTGGTTAAGGTATTTGATTTAAAGATAGAATAATGTATTGCAGTATAGAATAAATGAGAAAAGCTTTAATAATCAACGACTGAAGTGTGGAATCTAATGAGTTAGATTTAAGCATTGAAAAATGTAAGTGCAAAATATTTGATTACCTTATCAAATGTTTTATTATAGTAAAGAATATTTTACTAAAGCACAGAATATTTAATTAAGGTATAGACTATCTGATCATAACAT